CTTAATAAAGAGTTTTAAACAGATAAGATTTTTTTTTTACTTTTTTCTGACTTCCGGAATGGATTCGTTGGTTTTTAATGCATTTACGATTTTCTTTCTTTTATCACGTCCCTGTACAGTATTTATGCCTTTAAAGTGCACTTTATAAAGAGTTTTGAACAGATAAAAAAACTTTTTTTTTTACATTTTTCTGACCTCCATAACGGATTCATTGATTTTCAATGCATTTACAATTTTTTTTTTTCTATCATGTCCCTGTACAGTATTTATGCCTTTAAAGTGCACTTTTATAAAGAGTTTTGAACTGATAAGACTTTTTTTTACTTTTTTCTGACCTCCGGAACAGATTAATTGGTTTTCAATGCATTCCTATGGGAAACCATTTGGTTTACAAATTTTTCGCAATACAAAAAGTCCCCGCAGAACGCATTAAATTTGTAAACCGAGGTACGCCTGTATATTTTTTTTTTTTAAATTGTATTTTTAAAGGTGTCGTGGAATACCTTTTTACTTAATTATCTGTAAAAAAAAGAGCCAAAATGTCTATTCTGTGTGCGTTGACCCTTTTGGTTGACATTTTGAATTTGGTAACTAGGTTGCGGCAATTTTTCTTTTGAAGGTCCATCAAATTGATAAGAAATCTGCAAAGCCTATGAAAAAAAGTTTTCCTGTTTTGTGTCAGTGTTTATTCTTGAGTGCAGTTCTAATCCCTGTTCTGTCATCATTCCTGACCCAATACCCTCTACCATTAAATTGGTAAACCGAGGTACGCCTGTATACTCAGAATACATAAAAGGGGGGAGGTGCAGCGCTAACTTAATATATACACATACATATAAACCAACATTAAGGTGCTGATAAAGTGCATAAAAAGGTGACTATAGATGATAAGTATAGTCCATAACGTGATCCAAAACCCAAGAGAGTCTTCAAAGAACCCCAATGGCTGGATTCATGTGTGGGGTGATAAAGGTATAAAGATTGCGCACTCACCAGATACGCAATCCAAATGCGCATTCAGAACAAATATTTCAGGTAATCCTAGGGTCCTCATATGGGTCTGGTCAGATCTGGTCAAAAAGCCCCTCGCCACTTGATAGTGTTGCCACACATGGATGAAAAGGCCGCTCTGCAGACGTAAATGGCTCCCACCGGAGCCCAGAGAACAAAAGGAGGCCAGATAGTGTGATACCTTAATGGCATTTATTCCCAAAGAACTCACAATACAGGCAGGAGCAGGAAAGATACTGACCATACATAGGTTTAGCAAATGGCCGCCAGGGCCCTCGTGGCGCCGGTCGGCGTGACGTCACACCGCTGTAGCCGCTCTCTAGCGCGTTTCGTGCGAAGGCACGTAGTCATAGGGGGTAAGCTAACCCCCTATGACTACGTGCCTTCACACGACATGCGTTCGGGAGCGGCTACAGCGGTGTGACGTCACGCTGACCGGCGCCACGAGGGCCCCGGCGGCCATTTGCTAAACCTATGTATGGTCAGTATCTTTCCTGCTCCTGCCTGTATTGTGAGTTCTTTGGGAATAAATGCCATTAAGGTATCACACTATCTGGCCTCCTTTTGTTCTTTGGGCTCCAGTGGGAGCCATTTACGTCTGCAGAGCGGCCTTTTCATCCATGTGTGGCAACACTATCAAGTGGCGAGGGGCTTTTTGACCAGACCCATATGAGGACCCTAGGATTACCTGAAATATTTGTTCTGAATGCGCATTTGGATTGCGTATCTGGTGAGTGCGCAATCTTTATACCTTTATCACCCCACCCATGAATCCAGCCATTGGGGTTCTTTGAAGACTCTCTTGGGTTTTGGATCACGTTATGGACTATACTTATCATCTATAGTCACCTTTTTTATGCACTTTATCAGCACCTTAATGTTGGTTTATATGTATGTGTATATATTAAGTTAGCGCTGCACCTCCCCCCTTTTATGTATTCTGATTATTTTGGAGGTTTATACGGTACCTTTTTTGGTGTTCAGCTGCTATTGTCTCATTTTCATTTTTATTTTATTTTGTTAATTTTATAATCTAATTCAAGCGCTCACTTACCCTGAGATTTACTGTTCACGCCTGTATACTGTATGGTAACCTAGAGGTCCCTCTTGGAAGTTCTACGCTGCTGGACTACTGGCTAAAAATTTTTTACTAATTGATTTTAACATATGAAAAGCAATAGTAAGAACAAAATGAGAAGTTCTAAAATTGAGAATCAAGGACACAACCATGGAGAAACCTTTCGAGGACGAATGCTTCAAGACAAGGACATCTGGCAAACACGTGATCCTATCAGAGGCTACTCAGCCCTTCAACCTTTGGCCATTGATGTCGTAATGATTGCAGCACAAACTCATTCAACTGCTGCAAAAGCCACACTTCCACTTTACTGTTTTTTGCCAATTCTTGTGCTCTGAATGATGCTCATTGCTACTGAACCCTACTCCTGTGAGCCCAGGATGTCAATGACCAGTCATAAAACTGCTCTTGGGTTTATAGAACATTTTTTCAGAGGATGGCAATGAGATGACTACACAACCAGGCCACATGTACACGGCTGCCTGAGGCATACAATGTAATGTTTGGGCATATTAACCTGCCTAGGACCACAGGTGGCCCATAGACAAAGCTTTTTTTTTTCAGTAGGAACGTGCACCTCCACTACTGAATGTATGTAATAGTAAAAGGTACTGGGGTGTGCTAGAGGGTCTGTTTTTGTTGGCTGCTGGGGGGAACTATTGTTAATCGGGGGGGGAAGGGGGGAGTCTGTTGTTGCTAGGGGGTCTGATGTTTCTGGGACAGATCTACTGTTGAGCGAGGGGTCTATTGATGCTGGCTTTTGGGAGATCTAATGTTGCTGGCAGGGGTCTATTGTTGCTGGGGTGGGTCTATTGTTGCTGTTGGGGTATTTTTGTTGTGGAAGGTATCTCGTTGCAGGGGGACCTATTGCTGCTGGTGGGGTCTATTGTTGCTGGCTGCAGGGAATCTATTTTACTGCTTTTCTTGTTTTCTTGCTGGGAGATCTACTGTGGCTGGGGTGGATCTATCATTGTTGTGGGAGTGTTTTGCTGTGGGAGAGCATATTGTTGCTGGGGGAGTCTGTTGTTGTTTGGGATCTATTGTAGCTGATTGGGCCTATTGTGGCTAGCTGCAGGGAATCTGTTTTACTGCTCTTCTTGCTGGGAGATCTACTGTTGCTGGGGTGGACCTGTCATTGTTGTGGGAGTGGTTTGCTGTGGAAGAGAATATTGTTGCTGTGGGAGTCTAATGTTGTTTGGGATCTATTGTTGCTGATTATGTCTATTGTTGCTGGCTGCAGGGAATCTATTTTACTGCTTTTCTTGTTTTCTTGCTGGGAGATCTATTGTGGCTGGGTGGATCTATCATTGTTGTGGGAGTGTTTTGCTGTGGGAGAGCATATTGTTGCTGTGGGAGTTTATTGTTTGGGGATCTATTGTAGCTGATTGGGCCTATTGTGGCTAGCTGCAGGGAATCTGCTTTACTGCTCTTCTTGCTGGGAGATCTACTGTTGCTGGGGTGGAACTATCGTTGTTGTGGGAGTGTTTTGCTGTGGGAGAGCATATTGTTGCTGGGGGAGTCCATTTTTGTTTGGGATCTATTGTTGCTGATTAGGTCTATTGTTGCTAGGTGCAGGGAATCTATTTTACCGATTTTCTTGTATTCTTGCTGGGAGATCTACTATTGCTGTGGTGGATCTATCGTTGTTATGGGAGTATTATGTTGTGGGAGAGCATATTGTTGCTGGGGGAGTCTGTTGTTGTTTGGGGATCTATTGTAGCTGATTTAGCCTTTGTGGCTAGCTGCAGGGAATCTGTTTTACTGCTTTTCTTGCTTTCTTGCTGGGAGATCTACTGTTGCTGGGGTGGATTTATCGTTGTTGTGGGAGTGTTTTGCTGTGGAAGAGCATATTGTTGTTGGGGGAGTCTGCTGTTGTTTTGGAATCTATTGTTGCTGATGGGGTTTGTTGTGTTTAGCTACAGGGAATCTAATTTACAGCTTTTCTTTTTTTTTGCTGGGAGATCTACTGTTGCTGGTGGGGTTCTATTGTTGCTGTGGTGGATATATCACTGTTGTGGGAGTAGTTTGTTGTGGGAGAGTATATTGTTTCTGGGGGAGTCTATTGTTTGGGGATCTATTGTTGCTGATGGGGTCTGTTGCTGCTGGCTGCAGGTGATCTAGTTTACTGCTTTTCTTGTTATCAAATTACTCAGTACCACAAAAAGATACTTGCTTTTGTATTTTGTAGTCTAGGAGGGGGTAGGGGGTGGAACCAGGGGACGGTGCTCAGAAGTGGGGGGGGGGGGGGGGGCAAAGACAAGGGGCAACGTGAAGAGGGAAGTACCTGCACCTGTTTTCAGAGTAAAAAAAATCCTGCCCATAGATATGAATACAGTAGATGTCTGCCGCTGCCCAGGAACAGTTTGCATTAGCGGTTTTACGTTAGTCCACATACGCAGGTTTACACAAGTATGAGCAAATACCCACATTCAGCCATTCATGCCTATTGTGTGGCTATATGCAGCCCTTGTGGCCCCAGGCTCCATATTTTATCTACAATATTTGGGACCATGGAAGGAAAGAGGAAGAGGAAGAGCAGCCCTCGCTGTCAGAGCCTCGGTCCAAACCTGGGCCTTCTGCGGGTAGTGGCAATGTTTCTTCTTGCTGAGCCACCTGGAATGCTGGACAGCTCCCTTGAGAATTATTTGGATGATCCTACCTTGACCTTGTTTAGCATGAACCTTGAACCCCTTGCTCCTCCCATGAACTTCCTGATATAAGCCATGTCTCTGCACTTCCTGTTTGCCAGATTTTGTGCCCTCCAGCCAATATCGTGCGCCCTATCGTCTCTGCTGTTATCCGTATTTTGCTATCATTCGTTATTTACCCTTGGCTTGTTCTCGACTACGCTTCTGCCTGATCCCAACCTACGACTGCTCATTACTGACCTTGCCTTGTTCTCGACCACGCTTTTGCCTGATCCCAACCTACGACTGCTCATTACCGACCTTGCCTTGTTCTCAACTACGCTTCTGCCTGATCCCAACCTACGACTGCTCATTACCGACCTTGCCTTGTTCTCAACTACGCTTCTGCCTGATCCCAACCTACGACTGCTCATTACCGACCTTGCCTTGTTCTCACTACGCTTCTGCCTGATCCCAACCTGTGACAGCTCATTATCGACCTTGCCTTGTTCTCGACCATGCTTCTGCCTGATCCCAACCTGTGACTGCTTATTACCGACCTTGCCTTGTTCTCAACTACGCTTCTGCCTGATCCCAACCTGCGACAGCTCATTTCCGACCTTGCCTTGTTCTCGACCATGCTTCTGCCTGATCCCAACCTGTGACTGCTTATTACCGACCTTGCCTTGTTCTCGACTACGCTTCTGCCTGATCCCAACCTGCGACAGCTCATTACCGACCTTGCCTTGTTCTCGACCATGCTTCTGCCTGATCCCAACCTGCGACTGCTCATTACCGACCTTGCCTTGTTCTCGACCATGCTTCTGCCTGATCCCAACCTGCGACTGCTCATTACCGACCTTGCCTTGTTCTCGACTACGCTTCTGCTGCCTGATCCCAACCTGCGACTGCTCCTTACCGACCTTGCCTTGTTTACTGACCACGCTTCCATTTGATCCTTACCTGTTTATACGCTACTGGACCTCTGCTTGCTCACCTCCTGGTGGGGTGATCCTGAGGACCGCGACCTGGTGCTAACACGCAGCCAAATCCATCTCCACCATTAGGAGCTCTGGTGAACACCGGTTGATACTTAGACTCTGCACCTCGGGTGATCCCACGCCTCCGCCATGGTGACCTGCCTGTGTACCTATCCTGCTGGTTTCAGGTGAGCCTTTCCACTGCTATAGCAACTGGTCTTTGAGCCTGACCCCTGACTGTGACACTCTCGTCATGTAACTGGACAGAACACAACTGGAAAAAAAAGGTATGTAAACAGACAAAATACAGAGTGAAGTAGGGACTGGGATTTAAATAGAAACTCCAGTCAACAGTCAAGTGAAAACAAACGGTTAATAACATTTTGAAAATCCTCAGCATTTAGGAAAAAAAACGAATTGAATTTTCATGACCTCATCTCTGTAATTCAAAAGATAACAGCATCTGCTCTGCTAAGGAGGAAGGCGTAACAGTCAGGATTACATGACATCCTCTCCTCCCTCTGCAGTAAAAATAAACTACAGTTCCATCAACCTCTAGGAATTGCTGTCAGGGATCTCAAGGTCCGCCACGGCCACCGCACAGGTCTGTGCATGCATGGAATACCAATGCACACCAGCATGCGGGCGCTAGGACATAGGCGACCGCGGCAACAATTGCGCGGCCGCGCATGCGCACTCACGCACGCGGACGAGCGCCTGGCACCACTGACAGCACAGGGTGCACTATTTAAGTCGACCCCTTGCAATGCTCAAATTGCCGTAAGGTCTTGTTCCTGTTCGTTCTGTTCCTGAGATTGCCTTGTTGCCGACCTAGCCTGACCCTGATTGCTGTTGACCGTATCCTGCCCTTACCCCTGGCTCATCTTGACTTCTCTTCTGCCTGTTCCTGATTATCTGACCTGCTGCTGAATCTGGCCCGTGACCCGATTACTCTCTGCCTACTGCTCTGCACCGTTTTGCCTCCGCTGTTACCGACCTGGCCTGCCCAACTTCGCTATCTCTCCACGGTGTCATCCGTCCATCCATCCTGCACGGATCCATCCGCTGCTGCCCAGATCTGCTCCGCCCCTTCACAGCAGGCTCTTATCCGCTACGTGCCACTGGCAGTTACCTCTACCACAGCTGGGTGTACTCAGGGGCCGCGACCTGGTCTCAGCCTGCTCCAAGTCCATACCCACCATCAGGGGCTCTGGTGAACAAGCAGACTGAGGCTTAGACTCCGCGTCCTGGGGAATCCCGGCCTGTGGATCTCTAGAGTCACCGCCAGTCGGTACCTGACAATTGCATTGAAAGTGGGTGGGTACACTAGGCCTGTACATGCTGAATGTGTCTGAGAGTCTCGATCCACCCACCACTACAAGTGGGGCTGAATGACATCACAGCTTCCTGGAGAAACAACTACAGAAGGGATGTGCCAAGACCAGTGGCTGGGGGAATAGGAGGCATAGCAGCCACCGGTCTTACAAACAGGAAACCAAAAAGGATTAACGGTTTTATTTGAAAATGAATGGGCTATTTCAGAGCAACTAATGAGTGAACCAGAAGATGGATGACGTATGCAGTGAAGGCAAGAAATCCACCACAGCTGGGTGTACTCAGGGGTCGCAACCTGGTCTCAGCCTGCTCAAAGTCCATCCCCACCATCAGGGGCTCTGATGAACAAGCAGACTGAGGCTTAGACTCCGCGCCCTGGGGAATCCCGGCCTGTGGATCTCTAGAGTCACCGCCAGTCGGTACTTGACAATTGCATTGAAAGTGGGTGGGTACGATAGGCCTGTACATGCTGAATGTGTCTGAGAGTCTCGATCCACCCACCACTACAAGTGGGGCTGAATGACATCACAGCTTCCTGGAGAAACAACTACAGAAGGGATGTGCCAAGACCTGTCGCTGGTTGAATAGGAGGCATAGCAGCCACCGGTCTTACAAACAGGAAACCAAAAAGACTAACAGTTTTTATTTGAAAATGAATGGGCATTTCAGAGCAACTACCGAGTGAACCAGAAGATGGATGACCTATGCAGTGAAGGCAAGAAATCCACAACAAGGGCATGTAAAGACGTTTTTGCCCGGAGTTCTGCTTTAACCTCCTTAGCGGTGTTCCAGAGTGTAAGTCGGGGTAAAATTTCTATACCAAAAGCGGTAACCCCGAGCTACCGCGATGTGTCCCCTCCAGTGTCCCCGGCCATCTCCTCCGGCCGATGCCGGCATCCGGCTTCTGCGTTCCGGTCCCTGTGACGTCGGAACGTACGGGCACCGGAACCGGCGTAAAATTAGAATTTTTTAAAAAATGTCATTTTTGCTGTCATTGCTATTTCAATGCATTTCACATACATTTTGTCCTGAGTGCTTTGTCCGGCGCCCTGCCTGCATTTTTACTGTTCTTTCTGCCTGGAAACTTAGAAAAGTCCACGGCGTCCAAAAAGTGTCCCTTTAGGTCAAAAGCGGTTTTAGACCGGCTAGAGAACAGCGATAGTAAATCAGAACCACTTACAGAATTGAGTGATAATGATTCGTGGGGGAAATTTGTCATCCGACACTGGAAACGATTCTGCGACTTTGCTCAGTGATGTGCGAACTTGGCGCTCTATTTCAAATTTCAGTGTTTTTGGTTTGATTATTGAATTACATTTATTATTATATTATTATTTTTTTATGATTATTTATTAAATTATAATTTATGATTTTGTGTTTCAAATTTTATCATCCCCGGGATGTTTACTAGACTCTTGTTCAGACGATTTCAGTGAGTTATTCCTAAAAATTACAGCCTACAATAAAAAACTACATAATTCCATGCAAAAAAAATGGTACCGCTTTCAGCACAAAAAATCAGAAAGAATCATACTGCCGAGGGGGCTGCTAAAGGTAAAGTTACACTGAATGGAGTATCAGTGTGCAGACCTTACGCACAGAAATCTACGGGAACCAACTGTGCAGCTTCAGCCAAAGCACAGAAGGCTTCCAGCACAGAATGCAAACAAGCAGAAGACCCTATAGCCACTGGATTGAAGTAAGTATGCATCTAGGGTGGTGTAAGGTGGGATTCTGTAGGTCAGGGAAGAGAATAAGTGCCCTTTTCTTTAAAAAAAAAAAAAGGTATATTATACATTTCTAGATAGTTGTCAAGCACAATAAACAGCACAAAATCAATATATAAATGGACAGATTCATTAGGCCCTCCACATCACTGAGGCACGTCAGAGTCCAGTTTGCCACATACCCCGGAGGAGCGCATCGATAGGTTGGATAAGCCGGATAATAAGCTTTGCAAAATGGCAGCAAGCTCACAATGAAGTAAAAAGGTCAACTTTAATTTAACAACACTTGTTGAGGCCCAACTGGAAAAGGTATTCTGCCTTTTATATTGAAGGGAGATTAAGTAGGTTTTTAATAAAATCATTATTGCACACACAGGTTTATCATATTAGCGGTGATCTAGGGAAGACATTGCCTTTGGGCGGCAGTATGTTTTAATAAAACAACATGGCATTCTGTCAAGGCAAATAATCAGTATCATAAACTATGGCTTGACCTAGATCAATAGGACTATGTTCCTCATAGATTGTAATCAGAAGAGGCGTAGAGCTGGAAGATTGACAACCACAATTTGTCCACAGCTGAGCATCTGACTTATTTTTATAAGGAGTGGAAAGAAAGGTCTAACAAGACAAATATAAGGACTCGAATCCTTTAAATCATTGCAAAGGAACATCTATTTAAATAGAAAAAAAAAGTTGTAAAACAAAAACAGTTGTACGTAATCTTGTGGGGCGAGGTGAACGATTTATTTTACCACCCCTTACCCATAAGCTCATACTCAATGTCAGGACCCAGCTCCGAACTTGCAACCTCTGCTGTATGTTGTGATGTCCCTTGCTGAGCCATGTGGGATGCTGGACAGCTCCCTGGACAATTCCTTGAATGATCCTGCCTTTGAATCTTGTTTGTCTTGAACCTTTTTTCTCCTGACATGAACATCCTATTAAAGCCATGCATTTGCACTTCCTGTTTGCCAGATTATTGTGCTGTCTCCAGCCAATACCTCGATCTTGTCTCTCTTACTGCCGTTCATATCATTGTTACCACTCATTACTTTGGCTTGTTCCTTGACTACGCTTCTGACTGATCCCAACCCACGATCAATTATTACAGACCTTTGGCTTGTTTACTGGCTACTCTTCTGTTTGATCCTTACCTGCTATATCTGCTTCTGGACCCCGGCTTGCTCACTTGATGGGGCGATCCAGAGGACTGTGACCTGGTACTAACACACAGCAAAACCCATCTCCACCATCAGGAGCTCTGGTCAATACTGGTTAGTACTTAAACCCTGCAACTTGGGTGAGCCTGCATGGTCCGCCAGGTGACCTGCTTGTATACCTCCCTTGCTGGTCGGTGGGAGTCTCTCTACCAGGGGCGGACTGACAACTCATGGGGCACCCGGGCAATAGGGGATCATGGGGCCCCTGTGCCTTGCCCAAACTCAAAAAAGCCTATGAAAAAGGTACCAGGGGCATCTCATGGGGCCCCCTACTGACCCCGGGCCCTTGGACAGTGCCCGAGTTTCCAAATGGTCAGTCCGTCCCTGCTCTCTACTGCTATAGCTACTGGTCTCTGAGCCTGACCCCTGACCGTGGAATTCATTCACCTTTCCTCCACTCTTTCACTTCCCCATTTGGTAGACGGGGTAGAAGAAAATGCAAAGCCTGAGTCAACCAACTAACTATAGTATAAGGGCTCTCTTGCCTCCCTCTTTTTTTCGGGGGACACCCCAACCTGCCACAACAACCACCACCCAACCACAAGGTCACCAAACCACTCTGAATTTTGTGGATGACCGCACCCTATACTC